GAGCAGGTGGTTGTTGGTCCAGTAAATATGTTTTTGCAGACTTATGATATGTATATTATTTACTGTTTTGACTTTCGCTGACGTTTTCAGACTTTCTATCTGGCATGCTAGTTTAAGATTTTGATCCGAACTTTCGGGTCGAATTTATACAGTACGACATGTTAATAAAGGATAATCCGTTTTTCTAAATAAGTTCTGTTTAACTAAGTCAATGGATTTTCAGAAAAGTAATGTATTATCAGTAGCATCCCAAATCATGTTTTCGCAAACCAATACGTATTTCTTAAAAAAAAAAGATTTTGCGAAAATCGCACTCTGATTTTAATAAGCTAGTGGGGTGTTACAAATGGTATCAGAGCACGTTTTTGTGTATCTGAATACTTTATTAAGTCAGAACTTTTCAAAAAAAAAAAAAAAAGACCCGACCACGATTCGCTCACGCCTCGCCGACTACAGGTAAGTGCTGAGTTACAATTTATATATCTAAACGAATGCTCTAGTCTATGCTCAGTAGAGGGTATCAGATATTTAACCCTAGAAACCAGTAAGATGCTCGAGTTTATGATCAAGTATGTTCAAAGTATAAGTCGATTGTCCTGGTTATTTGATGTTTCGACTTTAGTTTTCTCGGGTTAATATTAGCAACTCGTCAAGAGATCTGTGCGCATTAATAAGCAGTACAAGTATTCTATCATGTTTGCGTCTTATTATGTTGATATTTTTCAATACTCAGACGCCGCCTCGTAGAGAACCAGGTCAACAGGAGCTCCCTCAGGCCACAGTAGTCGCACACTTCCGCGACTACCATCCAGAAAAGTTTTCCGGCCAAGAAGATCCTCGTATAGTCGATGAATGGGTTCAGGGCCTTGAAATGATTTTCGAGGTCATGGACTGTCCTGACTGTTATCGGGTCATATGCGCACAAATCCAGCTGACCGGTGATGCCCGACTCCGGTGGAATGCCCATTGGGGTATGCGTCTCGGCGAGAAAGAAGGATGTACATGGGACCAATTCAAGGAGTTGATCAGCGGGAAGTACTATCCTTCGTACTACCGAGCAGATATGGAGCGCCAGTTCTTGGCACTCAGACAGGGTACTCGTTCTTTCGACGAGTACGAAAGAGAGTTTACCCGACTCGGATCCTTTGTACCCGATTTCGTGAGTACATAGGAGAAGAGAGCTCTTCGTATTACCGACGGACTTCTTCCAGCAGTCCGCCATAACATCGTAGGTCACGGCATCCAGACCTACGCTCGCACAGTCGCCATTGCCCAGGAGATAGATGCCAGTATCCGACGAGAAGCTAATCCAACTTTAGCCCAGCCAGTTGCTCAGCCACCAGCCCAGCCCAACGGTGCCCAATCATCAAAGAACCAGAAGAAGAGGAAGTTCAGAGGAGGCCCAGATGATCGAAGGAATCGCCCCAGACAGACACCAAACTGCCCGACATGTGGAAAGCGCCACCGTGGAGAATGCCTTGTAGGCCAGAACATCTGTTTCTTTTGTCGCCAGCCAGGCCATATCAGCCCCAACTGCCCCGAACGACTGCAACAACAACGACAACCACCTCAGCAACCACAACAACAGCAGCAACCTCGACAACAGCCACCACGACCCCAGCAACAGCAACGCGGCAGACAGCAGGCCCACGTCTTTGCAGTTGATGAGAGAGAGGCCAACCAGCACCCAGGTACCATATCTGGGATGATCATTCTTAATGATGTGCCTGCTTATGCCTTAATTGACACCGGAGCAACCCACTCTTTTATATCACGCCGATGTCTCGAAGCTATAGGAGTTCATTCTCTTACCACTGTCGATCCTCTCGAGGTGAGTTTAGCCTCGGGACGAAAGATAGTGACTGATGCCAGAGCCACCGATCTCAGCCTTCCCATCGGCGGCCGTATGTTGACTTTTGATGCCTATGTTATCGGGATGAGGGACTTTGACCTCATACTCGGAATGGATTGGCTAACACGTTTTCATCCAGATATTCGATGTCCTGACCGGGAGATTACTCTTTATCTTCCGGGAGATGATCAGATCACTTATTTCGGCTCCAGGACTCGTACTCTGCCCCATATTATTTCTATGGCGAAAGCCAGGAAGACTCTTCGACGGGGTGATTGCCAGGGTTACCTTGTGAGCCTCGTTGGAGATGAGCCAAAAGCACGGTCACCTCATGACATCCCCATTGTTTGTGAGTTTGTGGACGTGTTCCCAGATCAGCTTCCCGGAGGTCCACCTAGCCGACTGGTGGAATTTTCTATTGATCTTATCTCTGGAGCCGGACCCGTTTCTAAGGCGCCATACAGAATGGCACCTAAAGAATTGCAGGAGTTAAAGACCCAAATTCAAGAGTTGCTGAATCTCAGTTTTATTCGACCGAGCGTCTCACCTTGGGGAGCACCCATTCTCTTTGTCAAGAAGAAGGACGGATCTATGCGTATGTGTATCGACTACCGGGATCTCAACCGGTTGACGATCAAGAATAAATATCCGCTTCCCAGGATCGATGATTTATTTGACCAGTTGAGGGGTGTCTGCGTGTTTTCTAAGATTGATTTGCGTTCAGGCTACCATCAGCTGAAAATCAAGGAGTCAGACATACCTAAGACAGCATTTCGTACGCGATACGGTCATTTCGAGTTTGTGGTTATGCCGTTTGGCCTCAGTAATGCCCCAACAGTATTCATGGACTTGATGAACCGTGTATTCCATCCTTTTCTCGACCAGTTCGTTATTGTATTCATTGATGATATCCTTATCTATTCTAAAAGCCAGAAAGAGCATGAGGAGCATCTGAGGGCCGTTCTTGCGACCCTTAGACGAGAGAAGTTGTACGCAAAGTTCTCCAAGTGCGAATTTTGGCTTCAGCGAGTGGCTTTTCTTGGCCACATTATCACTCAAGCAGGTATTGAAGTAGATCCTTCCAAAATTGCCGCAGTTCAGAACTGGTCAGAACCAAAGAATCCGTCTGAGGTTCGTAGTTTCCTCGGCCTAGCAGGTTATTATCGCAGATTTATTGAGGGGTTCTCGAAGATTGCCCTCCCTTTATCCCAATTGACGAGGAAGTCTGTCACATTTGAATGGACAGATCGTTGTGAGTCGAGTTTTCAGGAGCTGAAAAGGAGACTTACGACGACACTAGTGCTGACTATTCCCGATCCTTCTTGGAGTTTCACCATCTATAGTGATGCTTCGCAGCGAGGTTTGGGGTGTGTACTTATGCAGGATGGCCAGGTTGTAGCATATGCTTCACGTCAGTTGAAGCCCCATGAGCAGAATTATCCTACCCACGACCTGGAGTTAGCTGCAGTGGTACACGCACTTAAGATATGGAGGCATTATCTTTATGGTGGTCGATGTGAGATTTACACCGATCATAAGAGTCTGCAGTATATTTTCACGCAAAAGGAGCTCAACATGCGTCAGAGACGTTGATTAGAGCTTGTTAAAGATTATGACTGCACGATTTAGTATCATCCGGGGAAAGAAAATGTTGTAGCTGATGCCTTGAGCCGAGAGGTAAAAGGCGAGTTATCTTGTTCTATTACTCAGCAGCGTTCTCTTATTCAAGACTTTGCCCGGATGCAGAATCAAGTTGTCGAGTCGCTTCCTGCAGTGATTACAGGGAGTGTTAGCTCGATGCAAATTCAGCCTACGTTGAGAGACAGAATTCGGCAGGAACAGACTCATGATCAGTTTATACGTGCTATTGAGGCCAAGGTTTCTGCCGAATGAGTCGAGGGTTTTTCTCGAGGCGCAGATGGCGCCTTAGAGTTCCGAGGCAGGATAGTAGTGCCGAAGGTCGAGGCCTTGCAGAAGGAGATCTTGACAGAGGCACACACCGCGCCTTATCTAGCTCACCCCGGTAGCACCAAGATGTATCATGACCTGAAAGGGTCTTTCTGGTGGAGGGGAATGAAGAAGGATGTTTCCAGTTGCATAAGAAAGTGTTTGGTCTGTCAGCAGGTTAAGGCCGAACATAAGAGCCCCTTAGGCCTTCTACGACCACTTGAGATTCCAAAGTGGAAGTGGGAGGAGATTTCGATGGATTTCGTTACAGCGCTGCCCAAGTCGTCCAATCACCATGATGCGATTTGGGTAGTAGTGGATCGATTGACGAAAGTCGCACATTTCCTACCTGTATCGATGACCATGTCAATGGAGAAGTCAGTCGAGATTTATACCCGTGGAATCGTTCGACTCCACGGAGTGCCCACCCACATTGTGTCAGATCGAGATTCCAGATTCACCAGCACATTCTGGAAGAGTTTACACGAGGCAATGGGCACGCAGTTGCAGTTCAGTTCGACTTACCATCCAGAGACAGATGGTCAGACAGAAAGAATTATTCAGATGCTCGAGGATATGCTCAGACTGTTGATGTTAGACAGAGGTGCTAAATGGGAGTCGATTTTATCATTAGTTGAGTT